TTAAGGAAGGCAGCAACGGAGGAGAATTTAGCGTGGTCATAGCTGGGCTAACCAATTCGTACTCGCAGTATATCGCCACATTTGAGGAATACCAAGTTCAGAGATATGAGGTCAGAGGCTGAGATAAGAAGGAAGAGCTTGGATCTTTCTTGATTTCCTGCTCTTAAACCAACTCTACTTCTTTTTCTGTCAGGGTGCATCGACTTTGTATGGACCTCACACGCTAAGCGGATACATTCAAGAGTTCAAGAAACTAGCAAATGATCTTCTATCTGGCCAAACCACAGACCCGGGGCCGCAGCCACCCGACCTACTTCAGAAGCAAATAAGCTTACTAACACCTGTGGTTGCGGATATGACACCAATTGGAACTAAATTTGGAGATGTCATATCGGATGTTCCTCGGTTTTCCAAATTTAAAAAGGGAACTGACGTAGTGACGGTTCAATTCCGGTCAGCTAACCCGAGAAATGATCTGATGACAGAAGGGACTTTTGCGCTTGTTGAGAGGTGGCTCGAGGGAAGAGAGACATGGGTACCCGTTTACGATGACGACGACTTTTGCCTCCGGTTTAAGTGGTCAAGACCGTTCAAACTCAGCACGCAGAGCACAGCGACTATCGAATGGAGAATCCCTGAAACCGCATCACCTGGTGTATATAGAACCACTCACTTTGGTTCAGCTAAAACACCTATAAGCTCCATTCACCATTTCTCTGGTTCATCTAGTGCCTTTGTTGTATATTGAAATGAACACGTGAATGGTCTTTATACGTATCCCTAGCAACTCCATAGTTGGATCAATAGATTTTAAGCAAAAGAAGATGGCCCATAAAAGCTTAGCTTAAACAAGGATAAAAGAAGAGTAAAAAAATACGCAGCAGACTTTATTACTGGAGCCTGTAGGTCTGTAGCAGTCGCTCTTTTCTTGAATACTTTTCTCCATGGGCAAAGGGCTAGAGGAATCATCAGCATCCACCGATGTAATCTTCTTCTTCTTCTTATGGCTTTCTTCTTTAATCAGTCTTTTAAGCACTTTTTTTTTTCCTCTATTAGTCGTTTCTTCACAATTTGAGTGGACTTTGGTATTTTGTTTCGGATTTTAGGTTGATAAAGTCAGGGAGCCTTTGCAGAAAGGTAAGAAATTGTGTTTGATCTTTTGTTGCTATCCTTTTGTCGCTATTTCTTTTGCTATCCTTTTGTTGCTCGAGAGAGAAAGTGATATCATGTTTTAAACCCATCAACATATAAGATTTTCTTTTTATATTGATTTTTGAATTATTTGTTTTTGCTGAAATCGAACGTATGAAAACATGCATGATGCATATATATATATATATATATTGTCTTGCAATCTTGATTGTCCCCAACCACCTGACACAACTCACAAGCAAATAAGCTTATTAACGCCCCCGTGGTTGCGAATATGTCATTTCGGATCGGAACCACCGTATCACCTGACGTTTATAGAAGAACCACTCACTTTGGTTCTGCAAAAACACCTTTGAGCTCCATTCACCATTGCTCCATTCACCATTTCTCTTGTTCCTCTAGTGCCTTTGTTCTGAATATCGAAGTTTGATACATAACCTTCCAGACGAAGTGACGTACAAAAAAAAAGAGAGAAACTTTTGGAGTGAAAATAGTAAACACCAGAGAGAGATTGAGAGAGATTGAGAGAGACTGTGTACTTGTTCTGAATTCGTTACGCCATTAAATCTCGATCTCACTTTTCTTTATTACTACTCCTAATCATTATATTGTTGAGAAACCCTTTTTAAGATTATTATATCAATCATCGTCGTTTGTTGTAGAGCAACTAAAATTTTAGCTTCTTTTTTTTTTTTTTGCATTTAGCCCAATCGGTGCTTCCCCAGATTTCGCTTATCTTGTTCCCATCTTTTTATAGAGAAGCATAACAATGGCCGATTTCAAACCCAGGATCGAGATTTCCTTCCTTGAAACCTTCATTTGTAGCGCTTTCGCTGCTTGTTTTGCAGAGGTATCTCTCTCTTTTGTGCGAGATTAGATTATTATTCCTCTCTTTTCGGTTTTTGAGTCATTGAATTTTCTTAGAATTCGATCAATCACTGTCACTGGTGAACAATCCAGAGAAATGTTACCTTAGATTTACTGTTTTTCTGCTGAATCTTCGAAATTGAGCTTTAGAAGATTAAGAAGCTAACCTATAATGGTCTACTCTACGACTTTAAAGTCCATTTTCTTTGGGAATTTTTGTTATACTTATTGAAATGAGCTACATAGACTCAGGAGGTTTAGTGTTTTGGAAATTTTACTTTTTTGTGTGTTAATGTGTTTGTTTTGTAGTCTTTAGTCAAATTCTGAGTCATGTTTTATGAGTGATTTTGTAGTTATGTACTATACCGTTGGACACAGCCAAAGTAAGGCTTCAGCTTCAAAGAAAGATTCCTACTGGAGATGGTGAGAATTTGCCTAAGTATAGAGGTTCAATTGGTACTCTAGCTACCATAGCTAGAGAAGAAGGTATTTCGGGACTTTGGAAAGGTGTGATTGCGGGACTGCATCGCCAATGTATCTATGGTGGCTTAAGGATTGGGTTATATGAGCCTGTGAGTATCACATTACTTTCCTTCTCTGGTGCTTTTCTTTTTTTTTTTTGTTGTGTGAATACTCTCTTAGGATTGTATCTGATGAATTGTTTTCTTTGATATATCTGGATAGGTCAAGACATTTTTGGTTGGAAGTGACTTTATTGGTGATATTCCATTATATCAAAAGATTCTTGCAGCTTTGTTAACCGGTGAGCTCAGTTCTGAATTTTGATTCTATTGGAAGTAATTTCGGTGACAGATTGACATAATTAAGTGAATATCTTTTTTTTTTCTTGTGTGACAACAGGAGCTATAGCTATTATTGTAGCTAATCCAACTGATCTTGTTAAAGTTCGGCTTCAGTCAGAAGGAAAATTACCGGCTGGGGTTCCTAGGCGTTATGCAGGAGCTGTAGACGCTTATTTCACCATAGTTAAGCTGGTTAGTAAACTAATCTTCGAATAACAATATCAAAAAGACTTGGTTAGCAGAGTGTTATAGCCTTTTGATTTATAAAATAGGAAGGAGTTAGTGCGCTATGGACTGGACTTGGTCCCAACATTGCCCGGAATGCTATTGTAAATGCTGCAGAGTTAGCTAGTTATGATCAAATAAAGGAGGTGATATTTCTTTCTCAAGAATTTTGTTGGATTCTACCCTTGTTTGAAAAATCGCTAGGCGCTAGTCGGGCGCTCGGCATGGGCCTAGCGATTAATCGGAAAATCGGATTAAAATCGGGGATTAATCAGGGATTAGTTTTAGGGTTATTTTAATATGCTTAAAATATATTAATCCAATATTGTTTTCAAAATTACAGTAAAAACAATTTTTTATGATTTTTATTAAAATTTGAACACAAGTTATGTAAAACATCACAAACTCCCAATTCAAATGATTGAATAACAAAAATAAAATGTTTTTTTTTTATACTTGCAATCTAAAAAATAATCGGGGTATGTAAGATTAGGCGGAAAATAATCGGATTAGGCGGGAAGTAATCGGATTAGGCGAAGAATAATCGGGTTACTGATTTTTTAGGGGATTAGTCATTAATCGAGGCGGAGAGGGTGGGCCTAGCGATTAAGCGGGGAGTAATCGGGGTTAGGCGGGGATTTTTAGAACATGGGATTCTACTGGTGCTTGTTTAGTCTTTGTTTGTTCTAATACTTCCATACATATGCAGACAATTATGAAAATTCCATTCTTCAGAGACAGTGTTTTGACTCATCTACTAGCTGGTTTAGCTGCAGGCTTCTTCGCTGTCTGCATTGGTTCTCCAATTGATGTGGTAAGCATTCATTTCGTAATTTATAAATCAACAACAAGATTACAAGATTATTTGGTTGTAGCCTCTCATCATTTTTGGTAGTGGTAGTATCTAAAATAACTTTCAGTGAGAAGTGATAGATCTGAAAACGAAAGTGCTAAGTGCCTAAATCATTGTTCCTTTTGGGAACAAACAAAAGGGACTTAGTACTGACTGAGTTCTATTTATAGATTTGTGGCAAAGAGTGGGTATTAATCACATAATATCTCTTCAAGGACAAGGCTATAGAATGGACACTGGACTACTTTGAAAGTGACTTTGATGTAGCGTCTCACATGTTTGTGTCTTCCACACTTTTATGTTTCTGACCTCTTGCTTGGTGATTTGACTTTGGTAAATGCAGCATTATTAGATAGTAATGCTCTACGAAGGGAGAAATTAGATAGTAGAGAAAAAGAACATAATATCAGTTGCAATATTGACTTGTTAAAGATTGTAGAGGAAAAAGAACATAATGTCAGTTGCAATATTAACTTGTTACTGAAGGAAATAAAATGGTTGATGGTATTTGTCTTAAACGGCCATGGTTCTTCTTTATATATGTTGTTCCAGGTGAAATCTAGAATGATGGGAGACTCTACTTACCGAAACACAGTCGATTGCTTCATCAAAACCATGAAGACCGAGGTTGGTATTTATTTCCAGTTCACATTTACCAATCTCTCTCTTTCGATGCAATCATGAATGTTTTGTTTGCCTATTTATAGGGGATTATGGCATTCTACAAAGGATTTCTCCCGAATTTTACACGGCTAGGAACCTGGAACGCCATTATGTTCCTCACACTAGAACAAGTAAATTCGGTTCTTCTCCTATTCTCATTTACTTTTTGATGATGATGATCAATTTGAGTTTTGCTCTTTTTACTAATCTTGTTCTCGCTGTTTCATCTTTACTATGTGACAGGTGAAAAAAGTGTTTCTAAGAGAAGTCCTGTACGATTGATTTCGAGATCCCTCGTAGAAAAACCATACCTTATTACATAATTCTAAAACCTCTAAATTGTTAGAATTTAAAACATATACTTCTATGTTATGTGAGCTTTGTTATTTAGCTTAATATAAAAACATATCCAATTTTGAATTTGTTTGCAAGAACTCTTTATATGAACGATCTCTTTATTTCAAGATTTTTCCAAAGCTAGATTGTCTTAAACAACACAACGCCATAATATATTCCTAAGAAACAGTGAACTCAATGAAAACCGTTTTAAGCCCTTGGAACCAAGTAAACTCTGGATTTGATGATTGATCCTTTCCCTTGATGGCTAAGCTTGAATCCTGGACAAACAGGAAACCCAACAACTTGACCCACAGGAACACGGCCATCCGAGAACTTCACGACGCTCTCCATGTACTGAGAGTGAAACTCAGCTCCTCGGTTTGCTTCAAAGTGACTTGGGGATGGATCGAGCGAGAACGCCAAAAGATGAAGCAGCCAGACCGCTTTAGCTAATCCCAAGAACTCTCCATAGAACTGACTTCTTGGGTGGTTACCGGCTAGAACCAGCTCCCGCTGTTCCGAGTCCCCGAACAACGACTCTTCCATTTTGTGGTGAATGATCGAAAGATACTTCTTTGAGCAGAACTTACCAAAATGGCAAGTCGGTAAGATCCCTAGCAACTCCATAGGATCCATTGCTTTCATATCTTTGAACTGCGCGAAGCAGTCACGGCGGTATTGATCCGGGTTGATAAGAGAAGATAAGCTTCCATCCATGTAAAACGTTTCGTGATCGAATCCTTGGAAGATTTTCCGACAGATGTAAGACTCAAGAGCAAATTTGGCGTGCTGGTTCGGGACAGAGGACTGCACCGAGGATGCAAACGAAGAAGCCGACATTCCGTCTGATGAAGCTGAAGCGGCTTCAATGGATCGAACAGCCGCTGCAATGTCCCAATGCGCAGCTCGCATCAGTGACAATAGAATCCCTGTGAAAGACTTTGATGCTTCTTTCACCTGAATCGTAGTCATCTCGAATAACTCCGGCACAGGAGATACAGCGATCTGTGTGGTGCAGTTAACTTTCCGGCTTGAAAGCAATCGGTGTTTCTTGCCTCCGTTACCGTTGGCCATAGAACTAGCCACTTTGACTTTCTCCTTCAGATTCTGAATCTCAGTATCTTTCACCTTCACTTCTTTCTTCAGCTCCTTCACAACGGCCTCGTACGGCGCCACCGCCTCTCTCAGCATCCCTCTTCCGGCGTCGTTTTTCCGCCGACCACCACTTCCGGTACCTCTCATCCTCCTGAATCTTTCCCTCAACGAACCAATCCTTCTCAGCTCAGCCACCATGGCCATATCAGCATCGTGCATCTTCTCCGGATCCCACGGCGAATGCGCTTCCTGAAGCGCCACGTAAGCTCTCTTCATAGCAGCCGCCGCTGTGAAAACTTGCTCCATCACCATCTCCATCTCCTGCAACGCCTCAACACTCACGCCGCTCCTTCCGGTCTTAGCCCTAATAGTCTCATCTTTACCATTCTCCTTCTCCAATGCGTCTTCGTACTGAATCTCTCCCTCCCCCTCATTCTCCTCTTCTTCAGTATCGTACTCTTCCCGGCGGTTTCCAGCGAGATCTTGCCGGCCGGCGGCGAGCGGATGCAACAAACAAGACGCAGTAACTCGTTGAATCAGATCCGAGAAGTTAGAAACCTTGTTCGCCATTTCTCCTCGCTTCTTCGTCTTCCCAAATTCGCCGCCGCTCCTAGTGCAAAACGCCGTTCAAAAAAATCAGAAATCAACAACGAAACGAATGAAACATCTGGGAAGTGAAAGAAGCTTTATTACCTGCGGGAATGGTGATTGGTGTTCTCTGATTTGAGAGCAAATCTCGGAGGATCTCGATTGAATTGAACAGAGTGCCAGTAGTCAATGTCTTTGGGCTCAGTTTCTAAGCTCTCTCGATCAATCTTCTTCTTTTTGCTGCACAATCAAAGAGAAACCAACTCAACGCCACTGAATGATGAATTTCTGATTATTCTATCAGTGTGGGGAGAAGAAGAGCAATAAGAACTGATACGTAATTACTGAATTACCCCTTATCAGTTTTGACCCCTGACTTTTTTAAAAAAATTGTAATCCAAGTGACTCGTAAAAAAGCTTTACCTCGATTTTGGGCCCTCGAGAAAAAGGTTTTGGGTCTTTCCACAACTTTCTTTTATTGCACATGGTCGTCCTCTTTCATTTTTCATTTTTTTTTTTAATCCAAAGTTAATTTTGCATCATATCGTTTATCACATTTCTTCTTTTCCCCTTTTGAAATATGTATAGATAGCTTTTCTATTCTTAATCATTTATAAACTTCAGAAACAAAAATGGATTATGTAGTTTAAATTTGTTTAAACATAAATTTTATCCTTTCTATACCTTCTAAGAAAGTAGCCATTATTAAGTGGTAATTATTCAAGTATCTTTTTTTGTAAATCTCTCTTTTGATTGGACGAGAAAGTGATCCCATAAAGTCATCATGCCTTAATCCAAACCAAATCATATAGAAAATTCTTGTCCCCTTTTATGAATCCAAATTTTATCAATAAACCCATGTTAAGAGAAACAAACACTTTAAACACATCATACTTAATCAAAAGAACAAATTATATTAGTCAAAAGTGATTACCTGTGATTCCTAGGATTAACTGAGCATAAAAGAATGCCTGGCAACATTTTCTCTTCCTCTCTCTTTCTCTTTCTTTAGAACCAAAGAGATGAACTCTAATATATGAAGAAGATGAGTAAGGTGAAATTGAGGTTCAAAGTTTCTCATATATATAGAGAATTTATTGAAGATTTGAGAGAAACAGGCCAATGAGGAAAAATAGGTTTTGATGGGACAAGTATCAAACTTTGATTATTAAATTATGAAACTATAATTGACGAGTGGGATATTTCTTGTTTCAAGTTTCGACATCTAGCCATTTGTTGTCTAGTTTGTTCTTACAAATTATATAAACTTCACTGGAAATATCCAGAATCAAAACTGGAGTCAGAATCAGAAACGCTCACAAATTTATAAACGTGATTTCAAAAAACGACAAAACAATTTCAATTGAGGTTGTCATATATAAATCAGATAAATGCATGACCTTTCTAATTAATGTACATATCTTTCATAAGAATGTTTTGTTAGGAGATCTCGGGAATTACGAGATCGATTTGAAAGGAAAATTAACATTTGTATAATATATTTTTATTATTAAATAAATAGATTTCCTATTATCATATATGTAAAGAACTTGCTAATCAAGTTATGATATTTGTATAAATAAGTCTATTGGCTAATGAATAAAATTGAGAGAAACTATTCTACTACTAAAGTTTCCTCCAAACTTATGGTATCAGAGCTTTGATCATATTCATGTGGGTTATGGTTCTGTTACTGATCGATTCCAAAGATTTGTTATTGATTTGTTGATCTCACCACGACTACAAAAGGTGACATGGACAATCAATGCAGTTTTGAGGAAGATGATTTGTGTGCTTTGCTTTTGTAAAAAAAAAAAAAAAAAAAAAGAAGAGAAGAGAGACGTGTTCATCGTGTCGGTGAATTACGTTGTTGAATTGGGTCAGTTAATGACCTCGATTGATTTCTTATTAATTAGCAAAACTTGCTAGTTATTTGAAGAAGAAGACGTTGTTCATATCACACACTACAAAAGATGATATAAACAAACGATTTACTTTGGTAAAGATGTTAACCAACAAAACCATATGGTTATGTTTGGTTTTTAATCGGTCTTCATGTGGTTTTTTGTCTAACTACGAAAAAGATGGAAGCCACGAAGATGATTCTGACGGATACGATGCTGATCCGGCGGTGACGAATTTGAATTCGACCATGACTACTACACAAGTTTCTTCATGAACAAGAAGTTTGAAGAGCGACCAAGACTTGTGATCTAAAATCGATGGAGACACACAACTACTAAAGTATCCTCCATTGAATTGATGACCTTATGGCGAGGTATAAACGCCATTGATGACCCTATAGTGGGTATGAAGACCGTGAAGATGATTGTCCAATCTCATACATGTTACCACGTATGAGCTTGTGGGAGGGTGTTAGGAGATCTCGGGGATTACGAGATCGACTTGAAAGGAAAATTAACATTTGTATAATATATTCTTATTATTAAATAAATAGATTTCCTATTATCATATATGTAAAGAACTTGCTAATCAAGTTATGATATTTGTATAAATAAGCCTATTGGCTAATGAATAAAATTGAGAGAAACTATTCTACTACTAAAGTTTCCTCCAAACTTATCATGTTTTTAAAAGATATATGAATTTTGGAACCCTATGCAAAATTTCTTGTTAGATGATTGTATCAAATGGTGTATCCTTTCTGTATCTCTCTTGTTTTGTATAGGCATGATATTCACTAATTAAACCTAGTTCCCGTGAAATAATTAAGTTCGTCAACGCATCCTCAAACTTTCTTAACCCTAAATTTTGTGCAAGTGTGACCTAAGAATAAAATTATTTATATACCTCGTACTTGCTTATAACCCATGCATGCATACACTTAAAACAAAAGTGGAAGCAATTGAAGAGTTATTCTAATTAAGCTTTCCAAGTGACATACAGTACTCCCATTATTTGATAGATTCTTTTATACTAACCTTTGTATTGTGTTTCAGAAGAAACAATGATGACCAGAGGTTGGTACTTCTTGAAAATTATCTTAGAAATATAATGTTATCAAATATTTTCCTTTTGTCGCAGCCAATTTGATTCCACTCTTCGCTAGTTTAAACCATTAAGCGTACATACAAAACATATTTGCTAAACAGAAAGGCCATTTGTGTATAATTTAGTATATCTTCCTCTGATATGAACTATGTACAAATCTTTCAACAAAGTTACTAAATATTCGAAAAATAGCTAGTGATATAAAATATTAATGCATGTATATGATGTGTATGCATGCACATTGATTATTGGTTAGTTCACCTTTAAACAAAGAAAAGAAAAAGGAAGACAAGATTAGTAATCATGAAATGATATGTGTTGGATACGATGAAACTATGAGAGGGATATAAGAGGAAAGGGTGAGTCCAAAGGCGTAGGACATGAATAGGTCTGGAGACAAAGTGATGTGTGGTGTCCCCAAAAATTGACTCTGTTGTTGTTAAGCATTTGTGTTTTACCAATCTTTTGGACTCACCTCTTAAATCTTTCTTTCTCTTTTATTTTTCTCCTATCATTATTTTGGCCATTTTGTTTTCTCCACCCACACACACGTAGCATTTACACAAAAAAAAAATTTATAATTAAAATGGACAAAATGTAGATTTTTAGCTAAACGACCTATACATAATGTAAAACAGTGCCATCACAGAACCCTTTTTTTTGGCCACATTTTGCATGTCTTAATTTAAACTACTTGCATGTCTTAATTTTTGTTTTTTTCGGTATCAGTCTTAATTTAAAATGTTTTGTATCAACTGTTTAACCACTACCCCAATGTTGAGAATAAGATCTAGAATGGTTTGTGTAAATTACGTTCTGTGAAAAAACACAAGAGCTTGTTTTCTCATATAGGATTAGTGAAGCTTCTTGTCAACCACAAGAGTTATTTGGGCCAGTATTTATTATTAATGGGCCGAAGTCGAAAGCAAGCCTATGGCCTTTAGATTTTATTTTGAATATTTGATTAAAAAAAAAAAATTAAATTGAATTTCTCTATCAGACGGAATAATTAGAGCATATCAGAGATGCTGACAGACAGACTAATACGCTGTCGTTTTAACGTAATTTTCTTAATATTCCAAAAGAATTTATCTGTGAAAATAAAAAAGAAAAATAAAATCCATCTAAAAAGGCGTAAGAGGTCTGGATTTGTCAAAAAGGTCTTTGAGAATCCAAAAACGTCTTATGGTTTAGCTCTCGATTTTCTCATTCGATTCCTTCTTCCTCCGGCTTCAAGTCGCCGGATCTTCTTGATTTCCGATTCACTTGGAGATTTCTCTTCTCCTCTAAACACACGACGCTTCATAGTTTTTTGTTGTGATTCCGTTTGTTTCAGGTTAGCTAAATCTTAATTAGTTTCCTAATTTTGTTGATTAGATCGATCTTTTACCCTCATTATTGTTCTCAATAGCTTCTATGTATTTGGTTTCCTGAGTATTGCTTCTTGATTTGTAGGAAGAGGCATGTAATTCAGGATTTCCGGCGATTTGGTGGGACGTTTGGAGAAATTTCGAGTTTTTAGTATTCGTAGTAAAGTTTTCTTCTTTTTTTTTTTGGTTTGTAGATTTTGTTGATTAATGGTTGAAGGTGAGAAATGGGGCTTCGATGGTTTTGAAGGGATTGTGTATCTTCGTGGAAATGAGATTGTTGGAGATTGCAGCAAGTCATCTGATTCGTATTCACGGGTTTGCTTAGGGACTTTGGAGAAACTGAGAGTTTTGGTTGTTTAGTCTTTGATAAAAGGTTTAGGCTTTTAGCATTTCAAGCGCCTATATTAATAAGTGAGTTTGTTTTTCGAGCTTAGAGATGGATGAAGAGGCTACTTCTTGGATTAGGAGGACTAAGTTTTCTCAAACGGTTTCTTATCGTTTGAATTCATCAAAGTTAGCTTCTCTCCCTTTTATGGTAAACCAAGATAAGATTTCTGGATTGAAAACTATACCCCAGAGATCATCATCTTCTTCGTCGGCATCATCATCGGATCCCAAGTTGGTTTCGAGTAACTCACAGACTAGGGAAGATACCTCGAGTTTGGAAGCTGATGTATATGTTGTTGATTCGGAAATACAGACAAACCCTGTAACTAATAAACATAGATCTGTTTCTCCTTCGCCTCAGATGGCTGTTCCTGATGTGTTTAAGGAAGCAAGATCTGAGCGTAAGAGATTTTCTACGCCACATCCAAGAAGAGTGGAATCGGAAAAGGGAATGAAGCCTAAGTTATCTCATAAAAACTCCTTTGAAAAGAGATCATTTAATTTGCGGTCTCCATCCGGTCCTATCAGAGATCTTGGCACTCTGAGAATTCAAGAGAGGGTGAAGAGCAAGAAGGACACAGGATGGTCTAAGCTTTTTGATAATACTGGTCGTAGAGTGAGTGCTGTAGAAGCTTCTGAAGAGTTCCGTGTTGATATGTCAAAGTTGTTCTTTGGGCTTAAGTTTGCTCATGGGTTATACAGCCGGCTATACCATGGTAAGTATGAAGATAAAGCTGTTGCCGTGAAGCTTATCACTGTACCTGATGATGACGATAATGGATGCTTGGGAGCTCGTTTAGAGAAACAGTTTACCAAGGAAGTCACCCTTTTGTCTCGATTGACTCATCCGAATGTTATAAAGGTGATTTCTCCTCTCTCGTCATGTTCTCTTGGTTAATTGTTATGTCAGTCTAGATGGAATGATTTCCGTTTTTGTTAACTTCTCTCCTCTTATATGTGTGCTAAAAACAGTTTGTGGGAGCGTATAAAGATCCGCCTGTATATTGTGTCCTCACGCAGTATTTACCTGAAGGATCTTTAAGATCTTTTCTGCACAAGCCTGAGAATAGGTCTCTTCCTTTGAAAAAGCTTATAGAGTTTGCTCTAGATATTGCAAGAGGAATGGAATATATTCACTCACGACACATAATTCATCGGGATCTTAAGCCAGAAAATGTATTGATCGACGAAGACTTCCATTTGAAGATTGCTGACTTTGGCATAGCGTGCGAGGAGGAGTACTGTGACATGTTGGCTGATGACCCTGGAACATATAGGTGGATGGCACCTGAAATGATAAAACGGAAACCACACGGGCGTAAGGCCGATGTTTACAGCTTTGGACTCGTTTTATGGGAAATGGTAGCTGGAGCAATCCCGTATGAGGACATGAATCCTATTCAAGCTGCTTTTGCAGTCGTACACAAGGTAAATATTCTGTGTGTGTCCTGACTATTTCATGATTGTAATCTTCCGTGGAATTTATGCCATCTTTCAGCACAAGAACTTTCTAGTGGTTATGGTTAAAGGCTTAGAATTTAACATACAAAAACCTTACAGCACAAGTACATTTTAGGTCCTTTATTGTTCAGTTGGTTCAAGCATTTGAGATATGAAAAATGTCGATCTTTGGTTCAGAACATTAGGCCAGCTATCCCGGGAGATTGTCCAGTAGCCATGAAAGCTCTGATAGAGCAGTGTTGGTCGGTTGCACCGGATAAGAGACCAGAGTTCTGGCAGATAGTGAAAGTGCTTGAACAGTTTGCGATTTCACTGGAACGTGAAGGGAACCTGAATCTGTCTTCGCACAAGATCTGTAAGGACCCAAGGAAAGGTCTGAAACATTGGATCCAGAAGCTTGGACCAGTCCACGGAGGAGGAGGAGGAGGCGGTGGCAGCAGCAGCAGCGGCCTTGGTGGCTCAGCCTTGCCTAAGCCTAAATTCGCTTGAGAGACATGAAGAGTCTATTTTGTAAATTTATATATAATACAAAAAGAAGGGTTTTGTGTTTGTGTTGTATCCTTTTTTTTTGTGGATTGTTGTTGTTAGTGATCTTTCATCGTCAATGTCATCTTCTCTGGATTTGTTGTGTAATGACTGCCAGCCAACTGGAGAATGGTTGTGATTTGATGTTTATGGGATTCAATATCGTTTTCTACTTTACATATACTTTTGTTGACTTTGATGGCTTAATCATCTTAATCCCACAAAGTTGAAACTATACTGTTAAGACTACTATCCATCTTTTCTCATTTGAAGAATATTCCCCGAAACTAAGCAAAACTTATTTGTATATTTATACAAGAGCAAAAGAAAATTAAGTGACATGTATATTTGTATTCATCTAAGTAAAGATTTTTCTTTAAATGAGAAGCAGCAACATGTTTCACAAATTGATATCATCAAGGAGAGAGTAACTCAATGCTATTCTCGTTGTCTTCGATCCTCGGCAATGCAAATCTGTCTGAATCACGACCAATGAAGCTATGTGTTGTTGAAGAACACGAAGAATTAGAGGCAGAGGAACATATCATCGTCTCCTTCATCTCTCTCCTTATAGCCCATAGCTTTTCCGCAATGTCTTTCATAGCTGGACGTGTAGCTCTCGTCGGGGCAAGACATTCGCTCGCCAGTCTCAGCATTTTCTCAGCCACTTCAATAGCGGCTCGGTTTCTCTTGAGAAACGGGTCCATTATGAGAACAGCTTCATCGTCTTTGAGTCTCCTCAATGCCTGCGCAAGATGAAACGAGTTTCTCCTGATTTAATAGTTGAGAAGATTTATCTCGAGCTTATGGTGACAGGGAAAAGAGAAAGTTACTTGCCCATTTAACCGTGAGTCGGTCTTTCCGTGGTCTCTTTAACTCAATGGGACGTCTTCCAGTGAGAAGCTCTATGAGCAAAACACCAAAAGAGTAAACGTCACTCTTGTCAGTTAGTTGAAACGTCCTGAGGTAATCTGGATCCACATAGCCTGCAGATCCTTTGACCTGAGTCGATATATGAGTAGCCCCGAGATCTTCCGAAACTAAACGAGCAAAGCCAAAGTCTGCCACTTTGGCTCTAAGCTTATTCGTGATGAGAATATTTGATGCTTTAATGTCTCTGTGTATTATTGGAGTATCTGCATTATAAAATGATCCCTAATGCATAAAATCTTGGCACACTAAGCTATACTGTAACACCGATAGGCAACAAAGAAGATGATATGACAAGAGTACCAGTATATGTGTGCAAATAGGTTAATGCATGAGATACATCAATCGCAATCTCAAGACGTTCTGCCATTTCAAGGCGGTTACCCCTTAAACCTGTGTTTTGATATAGCAGAAAAATAGTTGAGAATTCTAAATTCAGATAATTTCATTTGGAGTCTTTCTCTATGCTCTAAAGTATAGAGACTAGACTTGTCTTCGTCTAGCTTTAGACACATAGAAGTGGAAGAATAAGAAGGAAGTACCTCTTGCAACTTACCATCTAGATGTTCTCGTAGGTTTCCATTGCCAACATATTCAACAACAATAACCTTTTCATCTCCATGTTCAAGAAATCCATACAGCTTTACCAAATTCATATGCTCAATCTTCGACAATGTGTATATTTCATTCTTGAACTCTAGCAACCAGCTTTTGCCATAGTTGTTCTGCCATAGAATTTTGAGTTATAGATCATTTATTCTCCGAATTATTCTTAAGAAACTACTTCAATCTCTTATCCACATATTTTCCAAGAAAGGGATTTTTAATCACTACCTTTCTTGCACGCTTGATAGCAACAATAGTTCCATCATCAAGCTTTCCCTTAAAAACAGTTCCAAAACCGCCTTCCCCAATTTGATGAACCGATGAAAAATTTGCAGTTGCCCTTTGAAGCTCCCCAAAAGAAAATATAACCGGGCCTTGGAGCCAACTTTTGCTAGAAGAAGAATCTTTCCCAGGACTTTGAAATCTTGAACCAGAAAAACGATATTGACCTGAAATCTTTCTTTCTGCTGACCTTCCAAAAGAGCTTGGTGATGAATAGCCAGTCCAGCCTGATACTGCACATATACAAGATAAAAAAGATTGTCACAGCAATACAGAGAGCATAGATGCATAAAAAATATATCTCATCCATGAAAGACCCTCAAGTTTGTTTGTCTTAATGGTAGGCATACATCACCAGAGCTTAAAAGATTCAAAGCAATCATGCTCCAATACACTTACATGTAGATTCTCTGTCAAGCGTGCTGCTCTCTCCAGGATCAGATCTACATTCTGTGGGCTTGAACTTTTGTTGTCCTAAGAAAATAATAGCAAAGACTTTCTTAGCTGCCCTTCTGATGGCACCGAGGACGGAGACATTCCTCGCCTTCTCCCCAGTACCTACATCACTCCAACTATACTCAGAATCAGCTTTTTGATGCTTTCCACTTGAGAAGCGGAGAGGCGTTGGGGTTTTGCTCCTCATTGGCATATGTCTATAGACATGGTTATAGGAAGGAAGTGAATATTACTTCTGATGACCAAATTCCAAGAAAGAAAGTATGTTGCAGTCATGTATGTTTCTTTTTCTTTCTGTTAAACGCCAGATACATTTGTGCATATAATATAAGCATAATGACCCATTATTATCTGTACAATATATGTTCTCTAATGTGTTGTAGACCGATTCAAAGATATTGATTGGCAGGGTCTTGCAAGTTTTGCTGTTATTCTATTTTCATAGTCAATGAAAATGAGCAAATGATGTTATTCTGAGTATTTTGTATAGTTTTGACTTTTCCACACAAGAAGAGTCGACTCGAGAGTAGAAAACGACTCATTGATATTAAAAACCTTTATAGTCTAAGGATGATGGAGACAAGAAAAGATTACTAATCGCATGCCTATGTAATCTCTCTCTCTTGACTAAGTAACAGAGATCTAAAGTAATCCAAAACTAAAACTTAATCAAACTTTATGCAAACCTAAACTCATCAAGAAAGCATTTAGAACTCAAGAAGTAATAAGAGAAGCAGAATCAATACCTCTGTGCTAGAGGATTGAATGTAGAAGAAGCCTTCACGTTGCACCTAAAATAAAATTTTTTTATACATGAACATTGAAAAAGGAAATATTGACCGGGTTCTTTTATTCAATCCAGTAGAGAGAATCAGAAGAGGAGACAAACTCAAGATTTTCTCTTGACAAGGAGAATATATCGTGGTTCTGATATTTATTTAGTCAGGAACAATGATGGTTCTCTATTTAAATCAAAGCTGCAAGTTGTGTAGATGATCCAGCAACAAGTAGAATGTGGTCCGTCAAAGCTGGCAAGAAGAAGGTCCACATATATAGTTTAAGATGAAAGATGAGTCTTTCGTACAAAATGCTTAGCCACAAGTCATCTAAAAGATGACAGAAAAAAAAACTCTCAATTCAAATGATATGTTGAAATTCTTTTTACAAAAAATGCATGAGTAAGATACCAAAAAGTAAACTACATAAGCAATGAGACTGACCTGCTGTGACAAAAGAAAAAAAGTTGAGTTCTTTGTCCAGTTGTATATATGTTGTAAAGTATTGGGAGATTGATGAGATTGACCCGAACCAAATCTCGATATCTAGGCTCGGTTAGGGTCGATCTCATCGAGCTCCCAATATAAAGAGATTACAAAGGATACATAACTTGGAAGTTGGAACAAGCCCATTAATTCCACAAAAGAAGCTAGCTCCAACAAATCCACAGGCTATAGTTAGTTGGAATTAGCCGTTTTCATGGAATCGAGTCGCTTAGAAGTCAATAACATGAACTTCAAGCATAGAGAGAAACCTCTGAACATGATCTACTTCAAATTTTTGTACTTTTTTATTCTTTCCATCAAATTTATTGCGTAGATGAAATTTAGGTATCTCGACAAGTAAAATAGAACTGCGTAGAGCACTCGCGAACAAAATTGATAAGACGAACAAAATACAACAACTAGATAGTGAATTTGGGTCATCGTGATGAATTTCGGAATAAATCGAAATGATAAGAAGAATAACCTGAAATACTCGATTTCCATGGAATTCAAGGCTCATCGATGCAATTCCATAGAAATTTGTACTCTTCTCAGCACTGTTTTATTTTTTCCGGTAGAAGAACTAAAGAAGACGATGACGATGACGATGGATTCGTTATTACAGTGCACAAGAAAAGACCCATTCCTAAAAGGCTTATGTTTCCTTTTGGGCCCAAATAACAGTCTTGGGCAATCTTAAACCCAAAAACATTCATTCGTTTTTTACACTTTCTTCTTCTAGTGGACTAAAGTCGTCGGAAAATTCCAATATTTTTTACCAGAAAGAAAACAAAATCGGTACAATCACACTGAGACAAAAACAATTACTACTGTGTATTTTTGGGACCTGCTATGGTTTTTTTTTTTTTTTTTTAATATAGAACACACAACACTCTTTGGGAACTTGTCGTAACTCCGAATCTCAATGTCACTCGTCAGCCATTGCTGTCCACATTCCACAAACGTTTTAGATAAAAATAAAATTACTGTATATCCTTTATTTTAGGTAAATGCCATAAATTAAAAAATCTAGTAAAACCATTATAAACTATAAAGAGTGCTTTCTCTGTTTTACGAAAACTATTTATAAAATAGAAATGAAATATTGTTTTGAATGAGATAACACACTTCAGTTAACACTTAACAATGATGTAACATTTGAACAAACCCACTTAATTCAAAATTTAGTTTAGGACGACGTTGCATCAAAAGTAAAGTGTGTTTGTCAGATGTTATATCACTAAAATAACTCTTAGTGCTCTACTTGGAAATCAATCCACTAATCAAAACTCTAATAATATATCCAAACCAAATAAAGAATAACAAAAGTTGACATTGAAGCTATTTCTTGATTCGAAGGGAATCCAAAGAAATGACGGAAGCAGCCAAATATTACCCCCCAAGGTAAAAGAAACAAATGGGCACACGTGTTTTCACCATTTTTTTAATCAATTTCATTTTTCTTATAGGTCTATCCATTAAATTTTAATATTTTCACTAATTAAGAGCCGTTTATGTTCGTTCCTACTACAAATGCAGAGGTCAGGCCCAGTGGTCTCTGCCACTCTCATGTGACACAATTGTACCATTTTTACTTTGATATTTGTACAAAAACATAACATTATTTTCTCTCTATTTTCATTAACTCATTTCTGTATTTTCATTAACTGTAAGTCTGTAACAAGTACAGAAATAAATATAAATATGACATTCAAAAAAAAAAAGTATAAAGAATTAATAAAATGAGAGAAAAAGGTTTAAGGAAAGGGAAAGGGCTTCTCTTCTCTTTAGTGTTTGACAACGCCACTCTTCTTCTCGAGATCCTAAAAATGTCACTGACAGATTCTTCAACTTCTTCACTCTCTTCTTCCATTCACTGAACTAAACCACCCTGAGAGCTATGACCCACCAAACCCACCAGCGTCGTCGCCGTCGTCACTCCGCCGTCTGTCACCGTCATCCTACTTCCAAACCCACCACCGGTTTCTGTGCCACCTGTCTCCGTGAACGTCTCTCCACCATCGAAGCTCTCTCTTCCTCTGTTTCAGCTTCCTCTGAGCTCCGCCGTGTTCGTTCCTACTCCGTTCGTGACGCATCCGCTTCTGCTTTGGACCAGCCACGACGCAGATCGTGTGATGTCAGGTCTAACGACGGTGATGATGAGCTGCTACAGAGCTCGATTCGATTCCCCATTGTACCGGATTTGAAAGAGGATGATGAAGAAGAAGAAGACGGAGAAGAAATTAGAGGTTTTGATGATGGTAAGAGACTCGTTGAAGAAGAAATCGAAGATGGAGAGCAGAAGACGATGAAGGAGTTAATAGATCTGGAATCGAGAAATCAACAAATCAAGAAGAGCAATGGCAAAGATTCGGTTTTTAGCAGAACACTTAAGAAATTTTCACTCAAACATCATCTGAAGAATGGGAAAGTTCCAGATTCCGGGAACAGTCTCGGCCGTCGCTCATGTGATGTGGATCCTAGGTTGTCTCTCGACGCAAGTCGAATCTCGTTCGAGGAGCCTAGAGCTTCATGGGATGGATGTTTGATTGGAAAGACATATCCAAAGCTGATTCCTTTGTCCTCTGTGACTGAAGATGTTAAAGCCTCGCCGGAGAAGATAACCGGTGAGAAAGAAGACGAAGAGGAGAAGAACAACCCAGGTGGGACAGCTCAAACGAGGGATTACTACTTGGATTCACGGCGGAGGAGAAGCTTCGATCGATCATCGAGACATGGATTGCTTGAAGTTGATGAATTGAAAGCTATTTCGAATGCTAAGGTATCACCTGAAACTGTTGGTTTGTTTCATGGAGCGAAGTTGCTTGTTACGGAGAGGGAACTTAGGGATTCGAATTGGTATTCAATTAAAAATTACAAACCGGAGAGCTTGGAGTTAGGTTCTAAAGTTGTTGGTTGTGTTGCTGCTGGTGAGGTGAAGAAGCAAGATGGTTTTGGGTTGAAGAAGAGTGGGAAGAAATGGGGTAAAGGATGGAACTTTTGGGGATTGATTCAGAGGAAAACCGATGTGGCCAAGAACGACATCAAAACCGAGCAAAGTTTGAAACTTGGAGGAAATGCAATGGAGGGTTCTCTAGCTGAGTCTCTGTTGAAGCTTAGGAGGGTGGCTAAAGGGGAAACCAATGGTGATGTTAGCGATAAACTCTTAAGAAGCTACAGCGTTAGTGCGAGAAAGTCCTGCGATGGTATGTTACGTGGTGCTTCTATTGTTAATGGATTTGAAGGTGGAAGAAGCTCTTGTGATGGTCTGTTTCATGGCTCTATTACTGGTATTGAGACCGGAAGAAGAAGCTCGTGTGAAGACGGATTGTTTCATGGCGTTGAAGGCAAACGGAATCATCTTCTTCAGAGTGATGACAAGCTTGGGACTTACTCGCCGGACAACCTCAGAAATGGTATGGTTAGATTCTACTTGACGCCATTAAAAAGCCATACGACAAGCAACTCCGGTAAAACTAGGCTGATGAATTAACTAGTCTGTGATTGTCAGTTCATGGTGGACTGGAATTGAAACTGTGTTGTAATTACCATGTTTGTTACTTATTATCCCATTGTTCTATAGATATATGAACTAAAATCATATCCCATCTTTCTTTTTCTTCTTTTTATGTGTATTAACGCTCTTAAGAGTTCAATACAATGGTGATTTTGTGGAAAGATGTAACTCTTTTAGATGTTGGCTCTGATTAATACACATCCACTAGACTTAAAAAAAAAACAATAGCTTCAAACTTAAGATAGTGGGGTTAACTGTGATGGGAGCATAACGCATCATGTTATATTCCAAAGGGTTTATGCCAAAACATGAACCAAGCCAACAATACAGGACAAAAGCTACCCCAAGAGAAAGAACATCAATGCTAACGTAGAACATAAATCAATTTTGTACTTTCCGCTATTATCTAAAAGGATACGTTCGACAGAAATACTTACACCGATACACAGTCTATATTACTCAAATTTTTATAGAGACTCTTTTGCACTTCATTCAAGATTATACCCTTTCTCGTGAAGTTCAGTCATGACCTCATTTCTCATTTAGTTACAGTTTGTGAGCCTGTCAAACCTCTTCTTCTCCATTTCCTTGGTAATCATCGGCTGTTCGGCTTCACCTTCGGACTCAACGATCCCTTTAGGCCACTGTATCGATCATTCCACCATTTGTATAATCACCTGGATAAGGAAACTCCTGCCGGTCATTACAAATGAGCCAATTCTCTCTCCTCCCTTGGTCTTGACTTCAACGTCCACCAACCTAAAGGAGACGTTTCAATGTAAATCCTATGCGATGCCAAAGATTGTGAAGGTGCATAGCAATGCTTTTCATCAAAGTCTTAAAACTGCAAATATGATTAAATCATTAATTGGAAACTTACAAATGAGAGTGATATTTCAGATCATAAAAAGAAAGAATGAAATCTAGCAAATTACCTCATTTTATCCATTCATTAATATGATATTTCTATTGATACATTTTGTAAGTTAATTTGTTGTATTTTTTTTTCATTAATTAAATGAATGTCCATTTACCTACTAATAAAATTAAAATAAATTTTAATACTAGTTATATTATACATAATAATGTATGGCAGTTTTGAAACATACATGATTGTGTCAATCTACCATTAATTTTGTTCCATAATCAAAAAAAAATTTAAAATAGACATACACATAAGTATATAGAATAAAATCAATCAAATATAATTATCAATATCAAAGACTTAAAGTCATTGTTTTTTCCATTATCAATTTTAGCTAAGAAAAACTCTAAACGGTAAGTAATCGCTTCTATTAACATATAGTACTTGAATACATGATCATTGTCTTTATTATAGTAAACTAAATATCCAACACATTTTATGTATATATATACACTACCATAGTGGAGAAAATTAAACAAAAGAACGAAAGTGAAAAATTGTAGACAAAATAAAATGAGAAAGTCGGGGTTATTGACTCTCCTAGGGCTAGGGGTTTTGATGATAACAAATTGTGTGATAGCGAGACGATCATTGTCTCAAGAAGAAAATTTGGAATTAGAGATGCAACTTAAGCTTTTGAATAAACCTGCCCTTAAAACTGTTAAGGTAATAAGTTAAACTCCTACGCTGGCTGAATATCTGAATATATAATCTATGTTTTTTTCATTGTTAGATGCATAATCAACGGTTCAACACTAATGATAATTATGTATATAACATATATGTTTTGTTTGTTTGTTTTCAGACGGAATATGGTGACGTATATGATTGTGTCGATTTCTATAAGCAACCTGCGTTCGATAATCCTCTTTTGAAAGACCATGATTTTCATTTTGACGTAAGTCAGTGTTTTAGATTAAACATATATAATGATTAAATATTGTGTGATGAATCTTATTTTTCCATTTACAAAAACTGTATAATGATGTTTTGGATTAGATGAAACCAAATGAGATCCAAATATCGACGACTCGCGGAAGTAAAGATTTTAGTAGCAACAAGATGAAAGCATTTGAGTTCAAAGGAGTTGGTTGTCCACGTGGTACTGTACCAATCAAAAGGATAACCAAAGAGGATCTGATTAGGCTTAGAAACTCAACCGGCTCGATTATACATCCTCAAACCGTTGATGAACTGGGATTACACGTAAATAATTCTTCTTAAATTTCTTCTGTAATTCATCATTTACATAAGATTTGTAAATTATTCAATTAATTTGTGGTTTATACAGTTTGCTGGAGCTCATGTTAATAACAGAGAGCTAGACAACATGAAATTAGGAGGAGCAGAAGCTTATTTTAGCCTATACCAAACTCCAGACGTTGGTCAAATGCAATTTAGTTCTGGTTTGATTAAAGTTGCTGCTGGTGATGATGTCATAAAAACCGGTTGGACTGTACGACATCATACAATTCTTATTTTAAATTTTTCCTTAAGAAAATACTAATTTGTCGAAAACACTAACCTTTATAGATGTGTTTACATGAATAAATGTATATATAACGTGTATGGCTTCTAAATTTGCAGGTGAATCCAACATTGTATGGGGATAATCTTTGTCGATTTTTGTGTATTTAAAAGTAAGTTTAATTTCACTTTTCTTTTGACAAAGTTCAGGTTGAAAAAGAGTTATCGAGATAAGAAAAAAAAACACTGGTTGAGTACAGTTTTACCGGTTTAGACTTAGTCTATCATGTTTTGATTTAACCGGTGTATTCAGATATATATATAAAGGCATATTTTGGTTCGACCGGTTTATTCTATTCATGTTAGTACATTTTAAATATAAACCTGTCAGATTTCGTTCAATCTATCAGTACCGATAAGAGACCCCCAATAATCAAAACTGGACACGAAAAAAGGATGATAACTTGAATTATCCGCATAATTCGCCAACTAAAGAAAACATATTAATCACTTAATTAGCGAACAAGAATAAGAGTTTAATATGTTTTGCCTCTTAAAAAAAAAAAATCAGAATATAATAATGTTTATGGTCAAACCAAACGTAATATTGTTTATGCAAATTTTGTTTCGGACATTTGAAATTGAAAGTAATTAATGAAGAGGCATATAAGAAGCTCTAACTAAAAAATAAATAAGACTCAAGATTGCTGAGGAATTAGCTAGACAGTCGAGAAAGGATCATAGAAAAACAGACTTTGGACAAAAGGAAAAAAAAAATCATAATCCCATGATTAGCAAATATGATTCGTTAGAACCAAAAAAATATACAAAAACTAAACCCTATTGAAATAAACAAACATATAAACACACCAAAACAAAAACAAAATTATTAATACCTTATCGATTTTTTTGTTTGCTTATCTTTTATCTAAGCGTTCATACAATCTCAACTTTTCAAATTGTATCCATCGATACGTTCAGTCTCATTCACAGCAGGAACATCAATGGTTGTGGATCAAAGCTCACATGATTTGTAAACCTAAACATAAATCAAAATAAGCAAATCAATTAAAAAAATTTTATAGGCAGTGGCTCGATTCCTTGCAAATCAGGCTCTAGAGTGAACCAAACCGGGCGTTTCGATTCATCCATTTTCCTAAATGTGATTGATATCCTGTTGGAAAGAACCAGGAAGAAACAGCTCATGAGAAAATTGATGTTTGTTGATATAAGAAAATTTGATAATATATAACCTTTTTGTGGGAACTGCAGGTACATAGTGCTTGGCTACATCAGCCCCATTTCCATTTAACACCAGAACTGATCTGAAAAATACCCAAAAATCAATGTCACTGTTTCATATTATTTGACAAGGAGTGATGAAAAGTTTTGATATTGGGAATTCATAAGAACTTAGTTACCCGACAGGAAGCGGTGTTGAGTATGGACCCGAGAATTCACCAGGACCTTCAGTTTTCAGGTTTGAGCCAAAGAGGATATCACATTCACTGAGGAAAGAGATGGTGCAGAACGGACGGAGAAAGTCATGGTTATCGATGTGAGGAGGTATACAGTCACCTTCATCATATATGTTAACAATGCAACTATCGGGCACACAAGTTGGAGGCAGTACATGCCATTTAATCAACCTTCTAATCATCACTTTGAATAGAGGAGGTAATGGATCCACTTCTTCACGTTGAAGGATACCAGGTGGGTTTCCAGATCTATCCTATCAACATACAAGATGGCAAAACTCTTAACTCATTTTATTATAATGAAACAAATTAACATGGCAGAGAAAGAGTTACTCACTATAGCGTAGTTGTAACAACAGCCAAATTGTATAGTCACACGTCCTTTGCCTCTCATCCACTTCCGTGGAGCATTAAATGTATGCTCTACAGAGAGAGAACAAGATTAGATTCAGACTGAAATAGGTCATAATTAAGATTAGAGCATTTTCAGATCGAAACAAGAAGCTACCTTTAAGTTCTCCTTTTCGTCCCTTCTCTTGAAGTTGATACACTTCATTTACAATCCGTTTCTGCTCCTTTGCGCTAAAAACACCAGTGTGTAACTCAAGTCCATCAAGCACGTTAACGATCTTTTCCTTAACTCTCTCAATGCAAATGAAGTCTTTCTTTCTCTCCACATGCATCAGCCTGAGATTCTCTCTCTGCTCTCTAGACAACTTCGGCTTCTCGGGAGTCATCGAACTCGCATCAAAACCTTTCTTACCCGAATCCCTCTCCTTCCTAAAAGTTGGGAAACAGTGAGAGCTTTTAGTGACCTGACTTTATCTATATCTGCTTAGCTATTACTTCCTGGTTCAATTAAACCGGGTATTTAAATTTTTGGTAATTAACTGAACCAGGTATTATAATTACCCTGGAAGTGATCCAGTTCTGCTTCTTTTTAGGTAATCTTAACAAAATTAACAAGTAGGTTTTTTTTTTTTTTGGTCAACAAGTAGGTTTTTTTTCCTTTTCAAACAAGTAGATTAGGTGTGTAAAATTTTTTTTGTATGAACTTATATGTTTTAGAGAATAAAACAAAGGTTAAATATATTATAGATTGTTTTGACTTATTGTTATTTGGTGATCTTGATACGGCGTAAATCGTTGAAAAACATTGCTATTATCTTTATAGCAAAATCCTTTGAAACTACGTGTAGCAAAATTCTTGTTCTTGAAAATGTTAGTTTTTGAGTTTTAAATGCCTTTCTTATGGATGCTGTAAATTTCAGGATATATTTTTAAGTTTTATTGATTACTGTTTTGAAAGATTATAGATCCTAACAAGTAACAACTTATGGATATCTCAACTTTAATTATCACCAATTGTGATCAATTAAAGTTCTATTGTGCGAAATTAAAAGCTTGCAAAAGTTTTCCGGTTTTTTTTTTCCCTGCCAACAGATTCCGGTTTTATACATCTTTGATACCTAATTTGATGACGCATATTCAACGATCGTCCATTATTAGAAAAAAACAAGAATTGGGATTTGATAAGTTTTGTTTGACTTGAGTGTTGAGTCTTTTCTTCTTTTTTGGCCAAATTTAACTCGAGTCGTGTTTAGGGAAAAAATATAGTGAAAATGTTCTTTCGGTAGCTTCTTTTTGAAATACAGCATAAGTCTTTTATCAGTTTTTTTACTTTTTTTCTAAAACCAGATCGCTTGGGATTTAAGATATCGGTCTAAATAGCCAGAAGCATATGGACATCCCTGTTTTGTTTAAAATCTGTCAACAAAAAGTCATTGATATTTTGTTTTATAATAATGTTTCCCCTTTTTATTAAAAATCGAATTGAATAATATGTAACATCATAGTTTTTAGTTTACACATTAACTAAATAAATATATTAAAAGTAATAATACAAAAGAAAACAAATGTCCGGTTGTTCTTCGATTAATCTACTCCAAACGTTTCATTTTTTTTTTTTGGTAGGCTCCAAACGTTTCATTATGCCTAACTTGTAAGTGCAGGTTTCACTGGAGATGAAACTGCAGATAAATGTGTTCAAATTGCAGAGTTGCTGGAACACAGAAAAAGCTGTTTTAGTGAGACGAACTTCTAATGAAGCAATAATTGATGACGTGGATCAATTCCTTAGCTGAAGATAATGACAAAGTATGGGTAGCTGATGTGGAACATGCGTGCTAATGAAGATTTGGAATATATAGAAGATACGGGCAAATTGGAAACAAAGATATTGGAAGAAAGATTTGGAGTCGCCCAAATCAATGACGTAATTCTAGAGGCTTCATCAACCCTATGAATATAAAAGGGGTTGGATGGAGAGCTGCTAGGGTTAGCCGTTCATGAAAGAAATAGTCTAGTCAAGAGCTTTTTCTATTTTAGAGAGTACGTGTTTACTCTATACGGTGAGATAAAAAGAGAGAAAAAATCGTGTATCGTCTCTACTTTGTTTAGGTTAGAAATCAGTTGGTCACAAGCTAAGAGGGTGTTCTTAGGCTGTGTGTAAATCCAATTAAGAGTGTGTAATCATCTTAATAGATTTCTAATAAAGTTGAAACTCGGTGCGCCGGAGTTTGGAGAATTCTTGTGTTGTGTGCCTATCTCACGTTTTTTCATAACTAGTTTTTGAACACTAGTTTTTTTTTTCTTTTCGAAGTCAAGTTACATCGTTATAAAGCGATTTAAATATGGACCATTAGCTAATCTATACTCCCTCTGTTCCTCAAAATTTGATGTTTACACATATATTAAGAAACAATCATGATTTAATTATTTAATAATTTTTTTTTATTAAATATTTTTTAATAATCTATGAACCAATAGTAATTTAAAACAGTTAATTATTTGTAATCATTACGCCTTGAAAAATCTACGATTTGTTAATATCAATTAATAGAAAATAAAATAAAAAACTAAAAAATTAATCTTTGTGTAACAAACCTAAAACACTAGAACATCAAATTTTCAGGAACGGAGGGAATACTAAGTAAAAGGGTACTCTAAGGTGTCCACATCAGCTTTTTCAGAAATCACTTAGAGTCATGCCACGTGGCACTTTTAAAGAATTAAAGAAGCAAGATAAGAAACAAAATCACTTAAGAGTCATGCGGTTATTTTGGTCTCCACGTTAAATTGAAAATTAAAACGCCATTACCACCCAACAGAGAAAACAAATCGATTCCTCTCACCCATCGTTACCACTTGCTGTTCTTAATTCTCCACTTCTTCTTCTTCTTCTCAATTCCCCCATTGTTACCACTTCCTGTTCTTATTATTTATTCAGTGATTTATTCTTCTCAATTCAAGGTTTCTTCAATACCCAGTCATTGATCAGAATCCTGCTTTTACTAGAATCATCAGAAATTTCAGCCATCTCGATTACCTCTGTTTTGCTACTATCACTGGTATGTTCGTCACCGTCGGGTGTCTCTCTTCTACTCTTGAAATTCTGCTTAACTGCTTTTGTGGTTACTCAATCGCGTGATCGGTCTTTTGGAATTGGCGATTTTGTAGGGATTAAGCCTTTGACTTAACTCTCATAATGGAATCTTTCATTCTTAGACAGCTTGCCGTTTTTTTCTAAGTCGCAGCGACTATTTCCACACCACTTTGACATATTACTGTCGCTGATGTTGATACGAAACCGTAGCCGGAGTATACAAAGGCCAATCAATCTATTGTTGATTTTTTTAACGATCTCTATGACATTAACATCCTTTAGAAATTATTTAACTCAAGTCGTGGGAATAAAATATAAAGGAGAAAGACTATTTATTTCTTTCGCCCATATTCGTTTGATTAATGCGCTTGTGGAACATTCTTCCCTTATTCCTTACAGCTATATATACGAGTCTATTGTGATAATATTTGTGTGTTTTGAAGCACAATTGTGGATATTCATCTTTGCAGGGATAGTAATCTGACAAGATTTTTACGGGACTCTAAGGTTGTGCTGCTTAAAGACCTTTACTTAGAACTAGGGGTGTCAAAATGAGCTCGCAACTCATGAGCTGACTCAGCTCAGCTCGATTTTTCATGAGCACGAGCTATGTTTTTTAGGCTCATTTAATAAATGAGTTATGTGATCGAGCTTTTTTTAGATCGCGAGTTATATGAGCGAGCTTTAATGAACATGAGCTAGCTCATGAGCTCGGCTTTTTTTTGAAAAATATATATATATATATATATATATATATATATATACAAAATATCAACAGAAGCATATATATCTTTTCCATTTAAATTAAACAAAAATAGAATTATTCTATTAGAAAATTTGTGTTTTTCCTATTAATTTTAGAAGATAATATCAATAATATAGAAATAATATCAAGAGCAAGACTATCACATGGAATAGATTCTTGATCATTTCATATTTCTATTATCTTTAATTAATTTAATTTAATTGTTCGGATTTATTATTTGAGTTTTTTATTTGGTGTTTTGAGATTATTTTTTTTTTTGGATTTATTCCCATTATTTAACTTTAGAATTAGTTATGTTATTGGATTTATTTTATTTTTTTTAAAAAAAAATTTACGTTATTTTTGTTATTATAATTATTTGTTATGAGCTCGCGAGCTAGCTCATTTAACTCGGGACCAAAATGATCTGAGTCCGAGTTTATATATTGAAGCTCATCTAATAAATGAGCTGAGCTGAGCTAGCTCAGAAAATGTCCGAGTTCATCATGAGCTGAGCCGAGTTGAGCGAGCTAGCTCATTTTGACACCCCTACTTAGAACTTGAGAGAATGAAAGAAGGTTTACACACCGACTCGACAATGCCGACCGAGACAGATGAAAGACCCAGATTTCTCTCGGATTCGCTACATCTCAACAGGTTTTTCTTTGAAACTCCGAAATTTATTGAATTCACTTTAAGTCAACGACCATTAAAAGTCAACTACTTCTTAGCATTTCTTCGTACATTATGATTTCATGGTGGTGCTTGTTTTGGAAGTTAGATGGATATTGTCTGACCAAGAAACTAAAACAGATGTATACTAATTCACCAAATGTGCTTATTGCCCCAAATGAAGTTAACGAATGTGGGTTGTGATTTCTTATTCACTTATATCTCTTCTACACTTAAACAAAACAATTAGGCTAATCACTTTAGCTAAACTTACAAGACGCACAAATTAGTGAGAGCTGTCAAACAAAGAAAGTAAATTCTTCTTGGACTTATCTTAGATATTGATTCTCGAACGATACTTAGGTTTACCCCTGGGGTGAACCTAAGTATGGTTCTTGATTCTCCCTTTATTACTAGGTATCAGAAATCTTATTTCTTCTACATACTTCCACGTGCTTCCTTTGCTATTCTTTTACAAACGTGCTGGTTTTAGTGGTTAATGTTTGCCATGTTTGTTAACAGGGTTCATCAGTTTGCGAATGACTTTTGCTCCTTATAAAGATACATATAATGGAATGTGGTTCTCTTTGGACAAAGAGTTCATACAGAGCGGAAAAAATGGTCAAATCGAAGAAAACCCTGCAGGGTACGCTAAGCTATACAAGATGCTGAGAGATCTTTTCCTGATGGAATACGGAACTGTTACAATCTGAGTGTGGAGAAGACCTGCTTCTACGCCTATCATAGCGAACATATATGCATAGATGTTAAATTTGGTTGTCAAATCTGACGGATCATACACGCATATCTGCGTGCATAATGGTGCTGAGCCTGGTGACTATTTAAGCCAATATCTTCTTGTCGTGAAGATTCTTGGAAGTAATACTAAGCAAGTTGCATATTGTTGTTGATAATGATGTTGGAGCATTAGTATCCTCTTATTCTTCTTCTCCGTCTTGCATGGGGAAGTTGCACCACTACAAAAATACAAAACACATTGACTTGACTTGACAAAGTCTTTCTTATTAGCTTATATATTATCAGTTTGTGTCTTGTTGAATTTTTCCTTGGGAAGTGAGAGAGTATGGAGAGATCTGTTGGGCTTTTGTTAGTGCTAATTGCGACTTTGGCCATAACTCATCTTATTCAAGCTCAGAGCCAACAAGGTATAATTCTTCTTCACCTTCTAGTTGAAGCTTTGGTACTTAATCTGTTCTGTGTTTAAACGGTCAATTTTTCATATGTATATGTTAACAGGGTTTATTAGTTTGGACTGCGGACTACCCGCCAGTGAACTCTCTCCTTATAATGAGTCGGAAACCGGATTACAGTTCTCTTCGGACGCAACATTCATCCAGAGTGGAACAACTGGTAACATCCAAGCAAATCGAGAGAGTGAATTCCTGAAGCCGTCATGGACGCTGAGATATTTTCCAGAAGGAAGACGGAACTGCTACAATCTAAACGTTGAGAAGGGAAGAAATCATCTGATCAGGGCTAGGTTTGTATATGGAAATTATGATGGTCGTAACATTGGCCCCAAGTTTGATATGTATCTTGGACCTAATCTATGGGTCACGATAGATATGGAAATGCTAGTGAATGGTACACGGGAGGAGATCTTACACATACCAACATCAAACTCGTTGTAGATTTGTCTTGTTAAGACTGGGGATACTACACCAATGATCTCAACCTTGGAAATACGGCCCATGGGAAATGATTCTTATGTCACGGAGTCTGGTTCTCTGAAACTTTACTTTCGATTATATCTTAGCGAATCAGAGAGTTACATAAGGTAACCTAACTTCAACTGAGTCTGAGCAAATTTTATCTTCTTTATGCTCTGTTTTTAGAAGCCCATGTTATGTTTATGTTTCTTGTTGCTCTGTTCTCATCTGTTAAAGAAAGTACTATTCAATCCTCGACACTTACGAATAAAATGATATGTTTAAATATCCAAGGTGTTTAGACAATTAATCTATAACAATAACATCGGTTCAAGCGCACCACAAAAATGATATTATCATATTAATCTTATTTATTTTACTAAAGAAATATCGTTCCATTCCTCAGGTATCCGGACGATGTCTATGATCGCCAATGGGTTTCGTACTTTCAGAGGGCGTGGACCCAGATATCCACCACTAGCGATGTGGATAATATCAATGACTATGATCCACCAAAAGCCACACTTGTAACTGCCGCCATACCTACTAATGCCAGTGACGATTGAATGGACTAATTCAGATAATCCTAACGAAAAAGCAAAAGCGTAACCGCAAGTCCAATCCCATTGAAGAAGAAGCCACAAATAACATCAGGAATTTCTGTGAATTTTTTATGGAAGGAGCCCTACTTTCTTCATCTCATGATCGCAAGCATTTGGCATTTGATATCCTGCTTCTTCTTCTTCCAAAGCTTCCTGTAAGTTTCGTGCAACATGTTTTGTCCTTCAAATTTGTTCAGTGCCTCATGGATATACTCTCCACAAAGGACTCTTGGTTGCATAAAGTTGCAACCCATTTTCTTGTGGAGTTAATTGATTGGGTGAAAGACGACGATACCAAGAGGGTGGCTGTTACAATGGCTCTTCAGAAACACAGTGAAGGGAAATCTGATAATATTACGCGTACAAAAACTGTTAAAGATCTAGCTGCAGAGTTTGAAACTGAAGATGGTTGCACACTTTTTCTCCAGAACTTGATGAATTTGTTTGTGGATGAACAGCATGTTCCTGAGGAACCTTCAAATATGAAATGGTCCCTAGAACCTTGCTCTTTGAATTCAGATCAGAGTCAAACAACAGATGACAATTCTGAGATAGGTTCAAACGAGGAGAAGGATTCAGTTGGGACAGCTGGAAACTCGGATCTTCTGAAAAGCTGGGTCATTGAATCTCTCCCTGGCATCTTAAAACATACTAAATTGGCCCCCGAGGCGAAACTGCGAGTGCAACAGCAGATTTTGAAATTTCTCGCTGTGCAAGGTCTATTTGTAGCTTCTCTGGGCACCGAAGTTACATCGTTTGAGTTGCAGGAAAAATTTAAGTGGCCAAAGACAGCTACTCCCGCTGCTCTTTGCAAAATGTGTATCGAACAGCTTCTACTATTACTGTCAAATTCTCAAAAGATTGAGAATCCACTATCTAAAGGAAATGGCCTGGACCAGCCTGATGATCCTGTTTCATACTTCGTGAACTCTAGAACAAGAGCAGCCATCGGACAAAATCTACTTTGATTACCACGGTCACCAGGACATGTCCATGGACTGTTGGGAGGTAGAAGTTCCTCTTGACATATGTTTTTGATAGAGGTTAATTGCCACCATGCAACCGTTATGTTGATTGTTCCGGCAAGAATTGTACCGATGAATTGAACCAAGAACATGGATCTTGGTGGGATCTTCATGAAGTGACCAAGTTTGAAGTCATTTAAGAAAGAGACAGCTTGTGCCATACTCATGTATCCATAGACTTTGAAGCATACGTTTGCGATAGGTCGTCCCGGGTAAATGATTCCCATTGCGTACTCCGTGATTATATTCAACCCTGGTGTCTGCAAAACGGGTGAAGATAAGTAAAATAACTCGTTGCAAATGGGAAGAACTAAAGAAGAAGGGTATTGCCTTGATTCGATTTTTTGTATTCATTATTGCTTACTTGGTTAGTTGTTGCCGTTATAATGCTGATTGGAAGTGTGAAGGTGAAAGCCATTGCGCTTGCGAACACAAGTCCCCACCAAGGCATTTGAACCTCATCGTTCAAGAAGACACATAAAGCAAGAGAGATAAGTAGTGTAGTAGCCAACATCAAGTAAAACCACCATGAAGGTATGTCTTTATATCTCTTCATTAACCTAGTGTGTATATCTTCTTTGCCTTTGTATCATTGTATGAAACTCGAAACCTCTCCAAAATTTCTCTGTCGATGCAAAAAAAATAAATGATTTGATTAGATGTATCACTCAAAAAATTCTATATATTTTTAGCTCAACATTCGTCGTTCGAAGTGTCAACTCGTCTCCTTTTCGCTCATTAAACTCTTAACCAATTAATTAGAATTATCTTTGAAATAATAAACTGTTGTGTCTACACATATCGCAAGTCAGTCAACTCGTAGAGTCAGTCAACTAGTAGAGTCATCCAAAGCCACTTGCATGAATGAATTCATTTTTTTGTCAACTAAGTAATTAAAAACTCAGAAACTAACTAAATAAATCATAATCCAAAGTCTCTAAGAAACTGTATTCTATGTCGAAAAATCACCAACTCCCAGGTTAACTCGCTATAAATACAAAGTTGTCTCTCTTCGATTACTCACATCTCAATCGTCTCTCTGATCAATAACTCACCTTTCGAGATATAGCTTCACTCCTGTCACACCAAACTATCGGATCTCCATGGAGAAATTAGATAGACGAAGCGAAGAAGAAACTTATCTATGGATTTCATTTCAGTTTCTCGACCAAACTCTCATAGCTATCTTCAAGTGTCTTGGTATTCTTTGTCAGACAGCTAAGGAAACGGCGTCGTCTCCGGTGACTTTAAACCTGCCCGTAAGCCTTCTTTAACAATATTCAAACGAATTACAAGATAATAGTTTGGTTTACTACGAGATTAGTACTATTATTTTCTGTTGTTTTCTATGTTATATAACCAGTTAACATGGAATTATTCAATCTGTTTTAAAAGGGAGAAAGATGTCGAAAATTTTGGAAGTCTATTTTAACAATATAAACAAGCGTATGTGTGTATATTTTTATTAATTCTTTTTAGTAAGAACTAATATTTAGAAGAAAGAAAAAAACATCTAATATGTTAAATATGAACATTCAGTCAGGTAACATCATATTTTGAGTAGATTTTGTAAAGTTTATTTGGGTTTAATATATAGCTGGCAAAAATATGTTGTTAGTAATCAAATAAATGTAAACATGTGTTTGTAACTGCAGGAGGAAGAAAATGATGTTGCCATGAAAGACGATGTCGTTTTATCGACTAGAGGAAAGAAGCCCAAAGCAAAGAAAAGGGATAAAGAAAACACTAGTAAAGGCCGTCCTGGCCAAACTAATAAAATTACATTGTTTAGTTCAATTAACGGAAGTGAAATAGAAAAGGGTGATTTAGGTGAATAACCCAAAAAAAAAGAAAATTTAGTTTTTTAGAAAGAATGTAGAAAGAGATAGGAAGAGAAAGAGAGTGAATAGGGGGGTTAGAGGTTAGATATTTAATTTTGTTTTTTTTAGGTTATCTAGTGCAATTTCTCAATAGAAAAACCATTATTAAGTTTGTGTTCAAAAAAAAAAAAAAAGGCTAAGTTAGAATGCAAAGTGTTGGCTATAAATAAACCGAATCGATCTAAGATGAGTTGTAATGAAAAGAATTATCTAAAACTTGATTGAATTTTTTATCATGTTAACATCAAATTAAATAATTCAAAAGAGTTTTATTTGGTGAAGCAAAACTTTATTTATGTTTAATTGTAAATCAAATTAATTAAAATCATAAAAACTACTCATACTGTAGTTGAAATTTATTGACAAAAATCCAAATTAAACATATCACTACACCAATAAATTATTTAATAGAAATTTGTCTAACGATCAATAACAAAATCAAAATAAATCAAGTACGAAAAAAAATGATGAGTATGTGATTTATTATAAGAAATTGGACAGTCACACTAGTGAAGTATTTTTTTAAAAAGAACTGTAAAATGTGTTGTTGGTCAAACAAATATACTACAGTCCCAGCAAAAGAAGTTTTTTGGGATTTAAAAAGTCTTGGAATCGAAAAAGCAGACAATTCTATGAAGCTCTTGTAACTCTATTTTCTTCATCTCGAAATGTAGGTTGCTTACATAGAGCACAATGTCTTTAAAGACTAGTAGCCTAGTAGGCATCTCCAATGGGAAGAGTCAAGAGTCTCGAATTAAAAAGACTTCTAAAACGATATATCGATAAAAACTCTATGTCCTGCAGCTTCCAATTCCTCGACACTCCTCTCGAAGAGATCTCAGAGTAATGAGAGCGCAAAGAAAATTTTTTATTGGCAATACTAGTATGTAACCATTTTATCCAACAACGGCCACCAAATGTTGTATAGTCTTGTTGAACATTGAGATAACAAATCTCGTACAGAGCCGGTCTAACGTTTTTGAATATCCTATGCAAATAAATATACATGCCCTTTTGAATTCAGTTCATTTGTTAAATCTAATTTGGTTTTTACATATTTACAAAAAAAAATATAGATAAAATAGTTCTATTAAAACTTTTGTCGTCCATTAGGATTATATTTTTTTAAAAACCAGAATTTCACTAATAATATCAACGATTTATATTTCACTAATAATGTTTTTTGATAGTTTCAACACTAAAAAGATTTTTAGTTTTTTAATTGAAATACAACTTACTAATTTGAAAAATAAAATTTGTTAAACAAAAAAAGTTTTCTCTGAATATTTTTTCTGTTTGTATTTGTTTAGCAAAATTTATTTTGTATTCAGAAATCTTTGTTTGTTTGTGTTTTGTTTACATCGTGGAATATGAAAAAGTCATTAGATTTTTACATCGTGTAATCAAACCAAACATTGGCAAAAAAAAAAAAAAAAAATCAAACCAAACCAAATCAAACTAAACCAAATGATCGTGTAATCAAACCAAAAAAAAAAAAATGAAATATTTGTAACCAAATGATCCATGATATATTGGGCCATCGACCCGTTAACATATAATTTCTTGCTACTATTGGGCTTCGTACATATATATGACAACTTAACGCTTTCTCAATCTTATCACAAGACGAGATAATTCTTTTTTTTTTTTTAACAGACGAGATAATCTTCTCAATCTCCGTCCTGACAATGGAGAGATCTACGCTCAAACGAACATCGAGTTTTCCGGATCCTGAGCGTTCGACTTTGATCATGCGGCCGAAATTCGGATCTCCATTCCTTTCCCGGGAGAATCTCTATAATCTTTTCTCACAAATCGTCGTTTTCCCTCTTGCCGTTATCTTTCTCACGAACATTTGAGAAAAGAGCATCTTCGAGACGGAACTAATCCTAACTTGGTTTAGCTCAGTTTTCAATCCCAGAATCCGTTTGTTGACCCGAATAATTTTCCTGGTAATAGCTTTGATTTCACGAGTTTGTGATCCTTAGTCTTTCTTCTAAACGCGTTTGCTTGATTAGTTACGCCTTGAGAAAACTTTCCTTCTTCGAATTTGTTAATCATGAAATTGAGGGTTTGATTTCTTCAATGATTATACAGTAGAAATGGCTAGCCAAGGCGGGGCTCCAAGACGGAGCTTATCTGTAACGACTGCGTCATTACACGGAAAGAAGAAATCCATGGAAATTGGCGAACGAGGTCCCGACACTGGCCGGAGATCTTTTACTGTTTCTCGTTCTCCTTTGTGATGTTAGATTCTACGCGTGATTTTTGTTTCCTTTTAGAAACAAGTAAAATTCCACCCAACTATTAGAGTTTAACACTCAAAATTTGGGCTTCCATTGGGTTGATTATTTTAAATTTAGGGTATAGTATTTAAGGGATATGGTTTAGTATTTGGAATTTAGAATCTAGGGTTTGAAAATTGAAAATTTAATGTTAGTTTGGTAGTATTTTTGTTCAAAAAACAAAAACAATGGTATTTTAGAGAATTGCCCAATAATACTAACCACACCCAATAGAAAACACACAAAAAATATATATTAACCCATCCTGACACAATTTACATTAACTCTACATACAGTATGTGTTTTATATCTATATATACAGATAAGGAAACAAAGATGTTTCAATACCAATTGTCCTGGTTTTGTCTTAGTGAATTCCCAAATCCCTCTTGGTCTTGTCTTCAAGGTGTCCAAACCTGACGCGATAATGGAAAATAGATTTTACATCGCCCGAGTAAGTATAACTCATTATACATGTCAATTATACTTCAGAATTCAGATAATATAATCTAGTGACTTGTCACTTGTCAAATAATTTTTTGGTTTTATTATAATTCTAAATTACAAGGACAATATAAGTGGGAACTGGTGGTTAACATTGGGTAAAGACATAAGCATAGGTTTCTGGCCAATTCAAACTCTGGTAGGTTTAGGTGATAGTGCGACTGATATTTTCTGGGGCGGAGAAATTATCAGTGTCCCGAACTCAAAGAGTTGTCCGATGGGTAACGGCCAAACCATGACGGGTCCATATCCGAAACTATATGCATATGCACGCGGTGTGTCGGTTCTTGATGGAAATAAAGGAACACTTGTGTCAATAGATCATAGAAACGATCTTACATTCAACTCAAAAATAAATAAAATTTTAAAATAAGAGAAAATTTTGCTATTTAAATCATAAATTTTATCATTGATCGCCAAGTAACTCCAACATGTGCTCCACTGCAAGTACTAAGAGTGGACCTTGAGGGCATACGAAGAAATAGATTCAACAGACGCTCAAGTTAAGAAAACTTAAGACAATGTACTGTATATATTTGGCTTACAATCTTAGTATTGTTTAGATTCTCTCGGTTCAAGTAGTAGAACAACATAATTCACATCCTATTCGTTTATGATGATGTCTGAGGAACAAATTGTTGACGGGTATTCATCGAGCTTGTCGGAGGATACCAACTTTCCGATTTGACTCCAAATCCTTCTCCGGCTTTATCTATTAATTATCTAGCCAAGGTGGCCACCACCTTTGCCATGGGTGTGACTTCTCATTCTCTGTGTAGGCGCTCATAATTTGAGATGTTTTACAAAGTGAATAAACACTAAAACTTGTCAAATCAAATATCAATGACAATAGTTTCAAACACAAGGTATTGGGTAGCTTTGATGGGAGCATAAAGCATCAACTTATATTCCAACGGGTTTAAGCCAAAGCATGAATCAAGCCAATAATAAAGGACAAGAGCAACTTCCCCAATAGGAAGAGCATCAATGGTACCGTAGAACAGAAATCAGTTTTGTACTTTCCGCTATACGTAGACAGAAACACTTGTACGAGTGGTTGAATCCTTAGTCTAACTGATACACAGCCAAAATTACACAAGTTTTTATCAAAACTCTCTTGCACTTCATTCAAGATCATACCCTTTCTCTTGAAGTTCAGTCATGACCTCATTCCTCATTCTCAGCCACAGTTTCTGAGCCTCTTTATCAAACTTCTTCTTCTCCATTTCCTTTTGATAATTATCGGCTTCACCTTCGGACTCAACAATCCCTTTAGGCCCGATCGCTGTACCGATCATCCCTCCCTTTGCAACAAAATCCTCCATTGCCTCTGTATCACCAGGATAAGGAAACTCACGCCGCTCATACAAATGAGCCAACTCTCTCTCCTCCTTTGGTCTCGGCTTCAACGTCCACCAACCCAAAGGAGACGTTTCATTGTATATCCAAGCGATACCAAAGATTGTGTAAGTGCAAAGCAATGCTTTTCCCACTTGTTTCCAAAAAAACATATCGTCACGCCCTAACCCAACCTTCTTCAGGTACTTGTTAGCATCCATTGACTTCAAAGCCTCTATTCCTATCACCAAAAATAACCAACCAAGTCAAAATGAGATTTCGTTGAGGCATTTCATCGAACACCTTATGTGACACCATTAACTTAGATTACACCAACAACTAGAAGTCGAAACCTTTGATAAAACCCAACAATTTCCGGAGATATACACGAATATAAGACAGTGATTTCATGGATCAATTCCCATTTATTTCATCGACGTGTATAATTCGGGAAAAGACAGAAGAAAGACGAGATTCGATCGGGATTAAAGGAGAGTATGGTAGAAAAATCTCTCACCAGTTTTAGCCTGTTGAAACTGTTTCCGCACCATCTTCTTCCCCGGAGAGCTAAGAGCTACGAGCAAGCTTCTGTACGATGATCAACGAGCTAAGCCCAGCCACATTCAGAAATTAAAGCCGAAGAATTTCGATCTCAGACTAATAACACAGAAAAGCTCCATTATTACGTTGTCCTTTAGAAGATATTGGGCCTATTAACTTTGTTTGGGCCTTATTATTTACTATCATTTGCACAATTGTGGTTTCGACATTTGCGGGCTTGTTATTTAGTAACGATTCGGTGTCGTTTCGTTAATGTCTAGCCTCCGAATTAATTTTGTGGATAACAACAGTCGAGAATTCAATAATTGAATTAGATGAGCTGTTAAATAACAACCAAGAAGTAGCTTTTAGCTTTACCTTTCAAACGAATTATATAAATTGTCAATCATACTCTTTTTCTTCTAACTAAACATCTCTTCTACTAGTTTCAAACGCAAATACCAAACCAAATGAGTTTCTTTTTTATTGCGTTTGACATTTACGTTTACAATTAATTATAATCAAGTTTCCTTAAGATGTTTAAGCTTATGAGTTTGTTTGAAAAAAAAATATAAGTAAACATGAACGCGAGCGTCATAGGCATTATTTATAATGACTTGATTAAAATTACACACCAAAAAAAAAAAAAAGGAGATATAAAAGAGCCAATGTGGGTGAGTTTAGTTAGATGGAGGATGAAGTTAATTACTTAACCCTAAATACGGTTGAGCGACCAGATCACCTAAGCCCTTTTGACCTGTAAAATCTCGTTTCTTGATCTTCAGTTTTACTGTCAATATATCTAATCTAACTCAAATCATATTATGTAGAAGCAAGTCTTTCCTCTTCTTCTTTCTTCTTCCGGTAAGTTCCCTTCAACGACCTTACGACATTTTCAGGACTCTTCCTTCAACCTAACAAGTAAGAAATCACATGAAATTTTCTTCATACCACAGCTAGCTTTCTTTCATAGTACGTCCACACACACACACAGACTAGTTTAAACCATCGCAAACATCAAGACAAAGAGAGCTTCGAGACTAATGGATATTCCAAGACGGTTTTGTATCTGCGTCCTAACGCTCTTTGTGTTCCTTCTTCTGTCGCCCACCACCGTTCACTCCATAATCCGACATTACAAATTCAATGTAAGCCTTCCCTATATGTGCATTTATATGTAATTAGGTGTTTATTTGCACACAATAGTATTTTTTTATCGAGTTCGTATACCAAGTTACCAACAATGGAAAAAAGACTAATCATATATATTAGTTAATTATTATGTCTCCGCTATGAGCATATTTTGAGCCTAAAACATATAGTTCTTGGTTATGCTGCATGCAAGATAAATAGATAATATGTCTCTAGATTTTCTAATCTAACGGTTATCGCATAAGGATTCATGCATGAATAAGATCATGCATTATATACGTACTAAGCGTAAGAATTAAAATGTGTATGTACTAGGTGGTGATGACGAACACCACGAAGCTGTGCTCGTCGAAGCCCATCGTCACCGTCAATGGAAAGTTTCCGGGCCCCACCATTGTTGCAAGAGAAGACGACACTCTTTTGATCAAAGTTGTGAATCACGTGAACTACAACGTCTCCATCCACTGGTGAGCAACCTCAAACAAACCCATCTTATTTGAAGATACTAGTGAAAGCAGTCTCTTTCTTTGATTAACTTTAACAATGTTATATTAAGGAGATAATTAAGGAGATCATTCTGTCAATCATATATTTGATATCTCAATCGTATATTCTGTATTTATGTGTGATTAGGGCTACTCTTACATCTCTCATGT